CCTGAAGCAGATAATGCACTTCCAGTCACCGGAAAGAAAAAGAGAACTCTCCCGGCCAGCCAACTGCACATACCCAATTTCAAGGACCTGCCTTTACTCAGTGAGGCAACTGTGCCTCCTCACCATCATCAGCAATGAAAAATAAAATACTAAAACATGGCAAAGTGTGTAATGGAGACTACAAACACAAGTGAAAAATCCACTTACCTGCAAAAATAGATTGACTTCTTGTAGTTTTTGTCTTATTTCTTGGCCAGCTCGTTCTTCCATCTCTCTTTTATATTGTTCTATCTGGCTGCGATCCACCATGTTAGTCTCCAAATGATGTTTGAGGTTAGCCACCTCTTCTTTCAGCTGGCATTTCCTCTTCTCCAGTTTTTCCTGTTTCACATGCATGGTGGACAACTCTTCTCGCAAATCCTGATTTTGTGCTTCTACCTGCTTGCAATTTTTAGACTCTGTCTCCAGTTGCTGGGAAAGTTCACCAACCTGTAGACAGCAAAAAAAAGAAAAAGGAACACAGAGGGATTTAATATTGGTCAATTCTGTAAAAATCCGTAAAGGGGTTGGCCATTGAAACTATATTTGTCATCTGCTGACTCAGTATTAAAACCAATAGATCCCAATGGTCAACCTCAGCTCCATTTTCTCCCTCTTCTCCACTCCAGAAACATACCTTTTCTATGCTTATTGAACATAAAACATGATGTCCTGTCTTTTATTTAAAAAAAAAAAATAGTGGAGGAAACTAGAATAGTAAATACTTGAAAAGAGTCTCTACAAAGAGTAGAAACTTTAGACTTACTTGAAACTGCCTAAATGTAATGCACTTCCTGACATTCAAAGTAACTGTTCCAACAGAAACACCAAAACGCTACTAACTTTCAGACTGAAAATGAGCTGTCGCAAAGGCAGTTGACGCATTCTGCAATATCTTCTAAAAACAAACGTAGCTCTGAAACGTGGCTGCTTTAGATACAAATCCGAGTAATGAGCAGAGAAGCAGATAAAAGGTTACAGGCTGCTGAACAGCCAGAGCCCCCTCAAAAGCACTTCTGGGAAGTCTGCTTCTGGGTCCCCGTGACAAGGGAAAGACGGGCTGTGACAGCTACTAGTGAGCAATAAATTGCAATTTTTTTTCTGCATCACCTCAACGCATTATGCCCTGGGAAGCAATGACACCACTTGGAAAAGCAAACCCTGAACTGCCTCCTGCCTAAGACAGGGCTCAAGGGGTGATCTTGGGCAAAGCCAACTTCCTACAGTTGTTCGAGTTACGGTGGTGTTACTTCCCTCTCTTCCAGAGAAGGAACTCATCTGTCAGATGTCGAAGATGCTGCCACAGCCTCAAGCTGCAGCCAGGCCTGTGCCGGGCCTCAGTGCTCTCAGCCCTGGCCCTCACCCATGGACGGGATGTCCTGGTAGGACTGCAGGCCCGCCCAGCCCCATGGACGGGCCTGGCGATCCGCACTCTTGGCGGACCCCGCTGACGGTCACCCAGACCTGTTCTGCTCTTCTTGGCGAGGGCATGTGGGACTGCTCCCTGGCCCGTCAGGTCACGGACCCTGCCAGCCTTGCTGTGATGCTCGGCTCGCCCTTCCTCTACAGAACAGCTTACCCTTGATGTGCCCTTGCAGATACTGCTTTGCACATAACGTTTTCATCTTTACCCATAATGGTAACTACATCAGTATTAGGTACAATCATATCTACTACCATAACAGTAGAAGGAGCATCAAGAAAAGTCAATGAATTCCAAAATACAGCCATGAAAAAAAAAAAAAAATCAACACCACAAAAAGCAGTACAGGGAAAGAATAACACAGGTTTCAAAAGAAGAAGCACCACCACCAAAAAACCCCAAACAAACCAGTGCTCACCTTTGTTCTCAATCTATCAACTTCACTGACCATTTCAGAATACCTATTCTTCATTTCTCCCTGCAAATTAAGCTGGGACTCTCTCTCTCTCTCCTCATACACTCTTAGTTTCTTCATAGCTCTGTTCAGAAGCCTCTTCATCCTGCACAGTAAATTAGTCAAGAAAACCATGAGGCAAAGGAACAACGGGCCTTTTTCACAAACTCTCACGTAAAGAGCACAGACATGGCTTGCTTCGTCTTTAATGTACTTGATACACCAGGAATTACTGAGAAAAACCATCACTCCCGTGCCAGAAATCCCTAGGAGGGTCCAACTTTCACCTCAAGAGAGGAATAAGAGGCAGACTTCCCTTCCAGGAAAACCGCGGCAGTTTGCATTTGCAGTTCTTTTGGCAACTACTGGAAATTACAGGCACATGTACAGAAGCATCTTGCAAGAACTAACAGGGGGCTTGAATTCACTCACGAACAGTTACGTATACCTATTTTTACACCAAAGTTCAAGCAAGCTTGACTTCTACTCAGGGATAGCTCTGCACCATGCTAAACAGCCCTACCTCTTGCAGTCTTTCTGCGGTTCGATGTTTCTTTTTGTTTCTTGGTCCAGACGCAGTTCAACTGGGCATTTCAACTCTACCAGCTTCTTCACTTTCTCTCTTTCACTCTCACACTTTCAAAATAGAAAAGACACATGACACCCCCCCCATAGGAACAGTTTCTACGTGCAGTATGTGCATCTGGTCTTCTCCACAGAGCAGCTGCAGCACGTCTCTGTCTGTTAGCCGAGTTCCACAGAACACCAAGGCACAGAATTCCTGAGAATGTTTAATCATTGCAGATTTCACATCAAACAGGCCAGTACCTAACAACAGATGCCCCCACTAAAGCAAAGGCCACCCTCTTCTAATGCTTCAAGGCAATAAGGTGGAAAAGAGGCTGGACAACACTTTCAGCAGTTCCTCAGCTCAGCTGATGAACACAAGTATCTTGCAGACCACACCACAGATAAAAAACACAGCAGCGGGGGAAGGAGGAAATTTACAGCCTTTTCCCTTGAGGGTGCCTTGCCCTAAAACCAGAAGGGTATGTGTCAGCTGAACTGTGCCTACACAGTCCACCTGAGCTTTTCATCAATTACTTGCACACAAAAAATTCAAAGTCTAAGACAGTCATTCACAGAGGCCCTTCATATACCTGCTGCTGGTGGTGGTCCTCTGCAGCTGCCTGTCTTGTCCCTAAGCCAGTTATCAAGTCTTCCAGGCAGTTATGAACCTACAGAAGCATAAAAAGAAGCAAGAAGACACTCTCTGACTTTCCAGACTGAAGTTTACACCTCATTATCAAAAATAAATATTACATACACCTCGTCACCTCTATTCCTGTAGTATTTACACCCAGCACCAATGATCAAAACAGCCCCAGATTGATACCATTGTGAAATTGTCAGCAATCACCACCTCTGCTGTTTACTTCAGGGAGAGAGAGCACCACGCGGGATACAAAGAATCTTCGATGAAAACAGGCAGGAGTAGCTTTTCCCATCCGCAGTACATTTGAAAACCATGTCGTTTTAACCACAGGAAAAGGACCAGCATCATGACTGCCTTCCCTCTTCCCTCAGTATCAGCACATCAAAAAGTTCAACTTTCACATGTAGTTATTTTCACAATCTCTTTAGCACTAATTAAAAAACTACAGTGGTACAAGAACCCTAGTTCACCGGTTACAACACAAAAATAATTTGCTTCATTCAGGCCACAGATGAAAGCACCTTATCTGAGCTAAAATTAACCACTGTGTAAGGGCAGTGTGAAATTCCAAGGCTTGCACCGAGTTCTGGAAGTGCTATCACAGGCACTCCTCTTCACTGTTTCATAAAAGCACACACACACCAAGTGGCCAAAGGAAAAGAAATCCTGCACAGCAGCAGCTCTGGGGACTATCACTTTTGTTCCAAGTCTGATGACGCCAGCCAGGGCTCCACCACAAAGTGCTTGGCATCAATATCCCCTGTGGAATTGAAGTTTATGAGCAGCTTACGGAAGCAGAGGCTTGCAGGTCTCCCTCAAGGGCTTCGATCCTACTGCTTTGTTGCTCGACTGTAGCTTCCAGTCTGGCATTTTCAATTTCAACGCTTAAAAAGAAATACAGGTCTTATTACCACCAGAGCACCAATTCTGAAAGAACAGCATGAAATAACACGATCTAAATTTAGTGGGCATGGTGGTATTAGGTCAATGGTTGGACTTGATGACCTCAGAGGTCTATTCCAACCTTATAATTCTATGATTCTAAACCAAAAGCATCTTTCAAAATCGTGTATCAACCTGCTGCGATGCAACAAGGCTATCCTGTTGTTTCCACACAAACCCAGAAAGCGACATAGAGACTTTGCTTCACTGTGTTACTCTCTTACCATTGCATGTGTTCTTCCAGTTGTTTAATAGTAGCATTAGTCCCAGAAGATGCCAATAGGAGGTCCTGCAGTTTCTGGGAAGGGGCTCTTTCTTCTCTTTTCTTATTAGCCAAGGCAGTCTTCAAGTCACAAACACAATGCTCAGACTGAAGACGCTGCTCTTCCAACTCCTGCAGCTGTAAAATCACAGTAAGAATCCACATCAGTCAGGTGAGCTTTTCTATAGAGGAGTCAACTGCTGCTGAAGGATTCAAGCACCGCAAATATCTGCACGTACCCTCTACCCAAAGAACTAATCATTTCAAGGACATTCCAACCCCACTTCTACCAGGAAACGAACCCCAACTGTGTTACTTCATCATCTTTTATACTGGTCTCTCCCATCCCTCTGCTGATTTCCTACAGGACAGTTCTAAGCACCAACACTGCCCTTCCTAGCCTTCCAGTGACTGTCCAAGTAAGGACATAGTGTCCTCACATCAAAGACATGGACACCAAGTTTATAAAACAGTGAGATTCACTCACCCATCATTAAATCTATCCTGGTGACGTTTTTTTCTAGGATTTTACGACAACGTTCACTCCTACTTTCAACAGCCACCCTTAGATTTCTTTATACAGTTACAAACTTTATTTACCTTAGTTTTAACCTTCTCCAATTCCTTTTGCAAGTGCAGCTTTTCTTCCTCCAGGTCACTGCGGTAGCACGTGGTAACTTCAAGCGAGGCTTCTGACACAGATTGCTTTTTAAGAGCATTGGCAAGCTCCTGCTGCAGCTGTCTCACCATGCCCTAATGAAACCGTTAAATGCACATGAAAAAAGTTGTAAGAACAAGAACGATGCCTTTCCTTTAACCTCCTTGATTATACAATTAGCCCTGTCATTGGATTGAACTCAAAGGTATGAAATTTTGCCTGCCACCGGCAGGCATCTTCACAGACAATGACTTCCACTTTCTTAGCTGAGCAGCTCCAAACTATCAGCAGCTCTTCACGAGGACTTCTGTTTCCTAATAAATCAAAAAGGCTCGAGCATTATTCTTTTCAGAACAATACACAAGGACACACTGCAGTCATGTATTTTTTTCTACCCAAACCCAAAGCAAACTGTTGCGATGTAAGAGCCATTGTTTGACTGCAGCTATTGGCAAGTGAAGAATAAGGTGCTTATCTGACACATGCAGGTACTTACCTCACTCAAAGAGTCTGGATTTGCTATGAAGGAGGAAATGTAATTTTAAATCACTATTCAAATGCAGTCATCAAGGGAGACAAACCTTATACCTGTGTCTAAACACTTATTTGCCAGAAAGTAAAGGAAGAGCAGACAAAACGCATAAGGCAACTTCTAAATCATTGCTCTACCTGGAACTGGTAGAGAACTTCATCATCAGAGAAGACCCTACCTAATCCTTGGAACTTACATAATAATGCATTCTCCCATTACCTATAGCTTTTCCAACTGCGACCTATTCCTTACTACCCCTGCCTTTATTCTCTTCCTCCCTTTTTCTTGACAAAAACCATCTACCTGCAGAAATGGGAGCAACATTGGTTCATGCCTGTTTGAGCAACACGATATTATGCCAGTGTTCTGCATAGGAGCATGGTTCATACACATGTGTGGTGTGAATCTGCAGAAAGAGAGTTTCACTGATTTCCTCATTAGCCTTCTGCCCAGCTAATTAGTCTTTCACAGAGCCACAAAGAACGAACACATTTAAATATGGCTACACATAAAACAGAGAAGAGAAAGCTTAGGTCAGTGTCTGAAATGAACTTCACGAGGAACAGGCAGGCCCCTTAGACCCCCAAAACACATACATAAATTAACACCTGGACACTACTAATACCCTTCGTTTTTGATAGCAACTTACAGAGAAGTGATTTTTTTTTTTCTCCGTAGGAGCTTAAAAACCATCCCCCATCACTTCACTTGCCTGCATCTTCATTTCTTGGCCCTTGCATATTGGATGATTCTACCTTTTATACCACTCTTATTTGTGTCATCAGTGCAATACATACATAAAACCCATGAAATACATAAAACTATTCTAAAGGGCATGAAATGGACTAAAGAAAAGAGATGAAAGAAGCTCTACAGAAGCATCACCTTTCTTGATCAAAGCTTAGACTTGGATACCTTTTTTCTGTTCTTTGCTCAGATCTGAGCAGTAGCACCCTGTTTGCCAAAACCCTCCTCAAAGCTGAGAAACACAACAAACCAGAACAAATCAGCATTACTTGGTCCCACACATATAACCCATACCTGGTACATTTTAGAAACACAAAATAATTTCAAGAACGGAAAAACTTTAAATTGTTCTTTCTAAGTTGGTACTTTACCTCTCTTTCTATTTTGTCCATCTCATAATTAAAGGCTTGTTCCCTCAAAGCCGTACACTCGGCATTTAATTCCTTGTTTCTCTCTTCCACTAAGCAAACTTGCTTTTCAGTATCAGCTCTGAGTTTGTTGAACATATCATTAAACCAGTCCTGTACATCGCTCACTACTTTCTCTTTGATGATCCTCTGGTTCTGCACATCTTCCAGTTGCTGACGAAGCAAAAGGTTTTCGCTCCAGAGCTGGGCCAATTGCTCCTGCATGTATTCCTGCTTTATTATAAATTTGCCTACTTGATCTTTCTCAAGTTGTCGAGCATGATCACATTCCTTTGCCTGAGCCTGGGCTTGACTTAATTCCTTTTGTGTCATTTCTAAGAGCAATGTTTTTTCCCTGAGTGTTTGTTTTAACTGGAGAAGCTCGTTTTCTAGACTATTAGCTTTGCTTTCAGCTTTACTCAGCTGCTGAGACAAGCTCTTGTTGGTTTCTTGCATATCAGAGAGGTCATGATGGAGCTTGTCTTGCAAGCGAAGCCATTCATCACGTTCTCTCTGAAACGTTCGTTCAACACCAGTTTTCGATGACTGGTGACGTTCAAGTTCTTGCACAGCAATGTTCAGGCGGGAACGAAATGATTCCATTTCTGTCTCTAGTCTGTCTTTGCTTTCTTTTGTCTCCTCAAGTTTGGAAGCCAGGACCGCAGTTTCCGTCTTTAGTAAGTTCAGCTGTCCGTTGTACTGAAAAACTGTTTGTGTTAAGGCTTCCTCTTTCAGTTTAAGTTCCTTTTTGAGATCTTCAATTTTTTCTTTCAAGGCCTCATTTTCCTCTAAATATTCTCCTTCTTCCTCCTGGTGCCTAAGTCTTACTTGATCAAGTTCTAGCCTTAGCGCATAGCAATCTCATCTTGTAGTAACTGGTTTTTGTGCAACAGGTCCTTTTCTCTCTCAGTGTTGGATTCCTGAATGACAGGGAACAGGAATAAATAGCCAGTTGGGAAATGAATCTACAAAACCACTTCAGCATCAAACGGCTTTTTAACTTTTCTCATACTGAAGCGTGGCTTCAAAGAGGAGAGTGAAATTTCAGGTAATACATAAGCTACTGTATGAACCCGTGCACGTGTACAATGTACACACACAGCGGAAGTGTAACATACCCTTACAGAGCAAAGGAACATCCCACAGACACAACGCCTTTTTATTTTTTTTAAGCCAGCAACCAAATAATGAAACTATTTAAAATATCTCAAGCATAAAGCTTTGAAAATAATAGCGTTTTAGCGTATGTGCATGCTTTAAAACATTCCCTTGGAGGTTAATTTAGCCCTGTTACAACTCTGGTAAGAAACAGGGCTAAAAAAGGGTATTTTCCTTCTCGTGCCATCTTTCATCTTCTATCAGTTGTCAAGTATCTTCTTAACACTGATTCTTTCTCTAAGCTATACAACTTCATCATCCCTGGAATGCAGTAGCCTTGTCATGATCTGGCAAAGAAAAAAACCCACCC